GTTCTTACATTTAGCTAATTTTTACTAAATGTTAAATTTAAATGTTAAAAAATATATTAAAATGTTAAATCCTAAACCTAACTTTAAAGTTTAAACCTCAAATGTTGAAGTTAAATGTTGAAGTTTACATTTAGGTATTTTGAAATGGAACACAGCCTTTGCTGTTTGCAGTAAGTGGGCTTTTTTTTCTTTGCTTTGTTTTCAAATCCAAATCTAAGATCATGTTCTTGAGCTGAGAAATGGTAGGGTGCCTCCTTTGGGTCAAGGAGGAGGTCCTGCCCCAAGTGGAGGAGTTTAAGTATCTCAGGGTCTTGTTCATGAATGAGGGGAGAATGGAGCGGGAGATCGACTGGTGGATTGGTGATGTGTCTGCAGTGATGCAGGCGTTGTACCGGTCTGTCGTGGTGAAGTGAGAGCTGAGCCAGAAGGTGAAGCTCTTGATTTACCAGTCGGTCTATGTTCTTACCCTCATCTATGGTCACGAGCTTTGGGTAGTGACCAAAAGAACAAGATCACAGATACAAGAGGCCAAAATGAGTTTCCTCTGCAGGGTGTCTGGGCTCTCCCTTAGAGATAGAGTGAGAAGTTCAGTCATCCAGGAGGGACTCCAACTGCTCCTCCACGTCGAGAGGAGCCAGTTGAGGTGGTTCATCTGGTTAGGATGCCTCCTGGAAGCCTCCCTGGTGAGGTGTTCTGGGCACGTCCCACTGGGAGGAGGCCCAGAGGAAGACCCAGGACACGCTGGAGGGTCAGCTGGCCTGGGAACACCTTGGGATCCTCCCAGAGGAGCTGGCCCAAGTGGCTGGAGAGAGGGAAGTCTGGTCTCTCTGCTCAGGCTGCTGCCCCCACAACCCGACCCCAAGAAAAAAAAATTGATGGATTTCAAAGTAAGATTGTAAATTACCTAAATCACTCCAGCTTCATAAATGACCAAAAAGCAGCATCAGCTGTTGACTGGCAGGGCAAAGTTTAAACTTTTATTATTTTCTTTATTTTCCCAAAGAAAAGTTACTTTTTCAAACATTCAGTCGAACTGTCTGAGATGTAGCTGTTGTGCCACATTCACAGGATAAAAAAACAACAACAAATGGATCAAAAACACTAAATGAGGGGTTAAAAGAAACCATTGGTCTGAGGGCCACCGGAGTCATACTGTAATTAAAGGTGTTCTCATCATTATTCTCCAGGCCGTGGAAAGTGAGCACTGTCTGTTGAACCTTCTCTTTTCATTAGATTTTGTATTTCATGCCCTCAGAAGCAGAACAAATTGAGTCTGTTTCCTTTTGCTCTACTGTTCATTACCCAAGAGAAAGATTAAAAACTATCCTCTCGCAGACCACACTACATAATACCAAAGAACACATGAGTTTACATTGTACTCACCGTCTCTACAAAACACACAAAACCTCAGCCATACTGAGCTCTCATCAGTCCACCCCGACTGAATTTACTTTATTAAAATCCATCGTCCCCAAAAGGAAGTTGAGACCAAAAATTAGAACAGACAAAAAGATGTATTTTTTTTAAATCAAAATTGCATTTTTATACCAAGTTGCTTTCATCAGAAAGAACACACTGCCAATGCTTCGTAGCCACTGAGAAAGCCTGGCTTGTCTTGGACTTTCAGAAGACTGAGCAGGTAAAAATAATCCAGCTTCGAGTTACAAAGCAGCCCATGTAAGACGAGATCCCTACAGTCAGCAGCAGAGCAGTACTGGTGCTTCCTAAAACTCTTGTTTGTTCTTTTAGCTAAAGTATCAAATATTTACAGAGCTGGAAACTTGCTGCCTCGATAAATCTATGACCAAACAAAAGAGAGAAAAACTAAAAAAGAATAAAAGAATCATGATACATTTTTATTTGGTTTATCCCTCCGTTGAAGGATGACAGCTACAGAAAGAGTCTTTAAATCTCAGAAATTTGTTAGCATTCATGCTTAGTTTTTAAAATTAGATTACCAAAAGAAAAATATAGAAATGTTGTTTTTCTTTTACTTGGTAGTTAAAGCAAGAGTAGTTCTCTGGCACAGTACTGATGCATCTTTTTTTTTTTTTTTGAACAGATGTGTACCTGCTCAACCTTCCAGAGGATCAGAAAGTCAGCATCACCACCATGACAGTCGGTCAGAGTGCGGTTTTGACTTGCTCCATCACAGGGGAGCGGAGGCCTCCTATTTTATGGAAGAGAAACAATCAATATCTGAACTCCCTGAACCTGGAAGACATCAATGTAAGAGCCATTTGTTTATTTACATTTTAAACTTAAGGTAAAAAAAAGTAATTTTATTGAGATACTCGATAGAAGGAGTTGTACCATCAGCAGTTAATTTCAAGTTCCTGGTGTATATCTCAGATAACCAGGACATGACAAACTATAAAAACAAAGAACTGCACTTCATTTGCAACTGGGCAGTGTGGAGTTCAAAGCTGTAACCTGCATGAGATGCTTCGTTATGCAGCTTAATTCACATGCAGATTAATCTCACTCTCTTTCCAGAGCTGTTAGGGTCTTTGTTGTTGACAACTCTCCAGTGGAAAGCTGCATGTCGGAGCATCTCATGCAGTTTAAAGCTTCACACTCTCCAGCTTTGAATTGAGAAAGCAGGTGAAAGCTGATGTCTAATCAAGTACAATAACTGATATAGATACAAAAAATAAAGAAAAAAATCCCCATAACTTTTATCCCTTGCATGCATTGTGTATGAGGTATGTAGCCACAAATCAGTCAGTATCTACACTAATATGTCCACTGCCAAAAGTCTCTACAATGGTCCTAAGAGTGTCAGAACCTGCAACAAAGCAATAAAAGAAAGTAGACRTTAATAAATCTTTCCTCATATTTTGTGGATGGACCGGCCATTGTGTGGATCTTACCTGAGCAAACTGTGTCACTAAGGTACTCAACAGGTTAAATTAATGCTGGCAAGGTATGTAGCTGTCACTGTGATCATCTAGCTAAACATACACTATATTGCCAAAAGTATTTGCTCACCCATTTAAAAAGACTGTGCACCAGTGCACAAAACAAGGTCTATAAAGACCTGGATGTCAGAGTCTGGTGTGGATGAACTTGACTGGCCTGCACAGAGTCCTGACCTCAACCTGATAGAACACCTTTGGGATGAATTAGAGTGGAGACTGAGAGCCATATCTTCTGTCCAACATCAGTATGTGACCTCACAAATGCGCTTCTGGAAAGATGGTCAAAAATCCCCATAAACACAGTCCTAAACCATGTGGACAGCCTTCCCAGAACAGTTGAAGCTGTTCTAGCTGTAATGGGTGGACCAATCTCATAGTGAACCCTATGGATTAGGAATGGGATGTCGCTTAAGCTCATGTGTGAGTCAAGGCAGTGAGCAAATACTTTTGGCAATATAGTGTAGTTGTTGACCAATGTAGCGACCATTTCCTTTTACACGGTCCGGTCAAAAAAATAGTCTTCACCTGGATTTAACTAAAGTCTATGATGTGGGGTCACTGCAGTTGGTCAGGTCTAGATTCAGTAACAGTATGCACTCAAAGAATGAGGTCAGCTGACCTGAATATACTGAATGACCAGGTTATTCCATCAATGGATTGTTTCTACTCTGATGGCACAGCTATATTCCAAGATCACAATGCCAGGATTCATCTGTTTTTTATTGTGAGTGGTTGAGGGAGCATGAGACATCATTTTTACACATGGATTGGCTCCACAGAGTCCATTGAGAATCTTTGGGATGTGCTGGAGAAGATCAGACTCTACCATCATCAATGCGAGATCTTGGTGACAAATTAACGCGACACTGGATGGAACTAAATCTTGACATTACAGAAGCTTATCAAAACAATGCCCCATAAAATGTGTGCCGTAATCAAAGCTAAAGGCGGTCCAACAAAATATTTCAGTGTGCGACCTTTTTTGGCCAGGCAGTGTATTTGCGACTGCTTTAGACAAAATAACCCATGGTTTAAGAATGGTATTTGGAACACCAATAAATCTTAGGTGGTGATTTTGCCTCTTAATTCACAGTTGGGCCTCTTCAATTAGGAATAACTAATGAGGCCTGGACAAAAAAAGATCATAATGAAGACTTCACTTCTTGGAACCTAAACATCAACCTAAGACTTGGTTTCAGATACCCCAGTGGATCCACAGAGTCTGATTTGACAGCAAAAGGGAGATCAATTTTAGGTGGGTGTCATGGCTAACATGTAACAGATAATAGATATTTGTATTAGGTGTAAAATTGTTGGTTATAAAGTGTTTAAATCGGGTCAAGTTTTGAACTGATTTTTCAGTTTCAGAGCTGTTCTTTCTGTGTAAGATAATGATTTTGTGTAGTCCTGTTCCCACTTTCTTTTAGCATTGTTTTTAGTCTTACTTTGTCAGCACATTTACTCTTGGCACTGTCTTTGTGCTGTAGGACTGACAGTGATCCAATATGTCCGTTTGTGTTCTTGGTGACTGTTTAGAAAATGGTGGGAGCGACAGGAACAAAGAAAGAAGATGAAAGGGGATACCTAAGGGGTTCAACCCTAGAGAAAGGACCTACTTTTATAACTCGGTGTGTGTCTGTGTGTTAAGCTTCACGCACAGCCCCCAGACAGCACCTCTGTGTCACTTTCGTCTACATCAAAGGAGGCCAGGAAACTCTTGTGGTAAGGTATGGAGGCAGGCCTCCTTTACCTTACCTTACACTTTGTCTCTTTGTGTGTCTGAACTGACCAAAATGAGTGTGATACTGCCGTGCATAATTAAATCAACACTGTCGCAGTAGATAAAGGGACTCCAGCAAAGCCACTAATGTAACATTAAATGTTGATGACCCTTAAAATGAGTAAAAGGCACCCAGCTGTCACCAGTCATCCTTGGCACCATCAACCGTCCATAAACTAGTGCGCTGGTTCTGGTTGGTGACGTGTTTCCCATAATAAAGCTGTGCCAATGCTGTGCTCCTAAGTTGGAACAGTTTATCTGCCATTTGGCTTATTCAGACATTTTCTGTAGTGTAATTTGCTTGGTGTTAAGTAATTCCTGGAGGGGAATGCAGCAAGTGCTGGGCTTAATAAAAGAGAAATGTCAAGACTTGATGCTGCTGTAAATATATTTTGATGGGTTCATGCAAGAAAAAAAGTGGGGAAAAGTGAGCTTGTGTTGACCTTAGAACACCTTATTTCAAATCCATGTCTTTCTTATTTTTTTAGTCAAAGCCATAGGCTTTTATTTCATCTTCTGGTATTGCCCCGAGGACACAGCAGAGTTTGGCATCCTGACCATGGGTGGTCCCTGTCTGCACTTTACTCATTCTTGTCTGCTCCCTTAGTAACTAATATCACATTTTGTTTGTGTATTTTTAATTCAAATGTCAACTCGGGGATGCAAGCATCTGCTGTCAAAAGGGTACTTATTATTCTAGCAACAAAGCTTTGTCTGAGGTTCATCATTAGCAGAAATAATAACAGCATACACACTGAATTCAAATACCCGTTTTCCACATTTCTAATGTTTGGGATTTATCTTCCATTCATTAGATTTTTCATGAATACGCCAAAACGTGTCCACTATGACGTTGCTAAAATTTAAAGTTTACCAAAGAAAATTGAGTTTTGTTGCTTTGTTAGAAATTGTTTGATTATAATATTTTGCAGCTTATGTATAAGGCTCATAAAAAATGTTACCTTTAAACATCCAGTTATATTTTGTTAAGACAGAAAGTTCTTATAATCTCAAAGGACTTGAGATGTTTGTGAAACCTAGAATTCGAACAAACTTTAAGGACCGATGTACTTCGGTTCAGGGAATAAGATTGTGAAATAATCTGGAAAGTGATCATAAAAATGCCAGTTCAATGTATTGCTTTAAGAGAAAGATAAAAATATGTTTTTAAAGGAATTTGAAACTTTACTAGTATACCAAAGTTGTTGTTTGAGAATGAACTGAAGTTTTTATTTTGTTTTGTTTCTTGATTAATATTGCTTGAAATTAATTATGGAAAAGAGGGGTGAATACTGAATTAATCTTTGAAGGAACGATGTACTTCGGTTCAGGGAATAAGATTGTGGAATAATCTGGAAAGTGATTATAAAAATGCCGGTTCAATGTNTATATGTTGTGTATGTATTTTTAGTTTTTGTTTTTTGTTTTTAATGTGTATAAAATTGATTTGTTTTTAGGTGGTCTGATGAACCCAGTAGACTCATTGGTGGGCGTGATGATAGCCCTTCATTAGAGCTAAACAACAAAAAATCTGAAGCTCCTGTGTTGAGTAGTTTTTGAGTTATGTGCATTTTTGTATGTCCAGACACCCTTGTTTTAGTTGGAGCCCCTCTTCAAAAATGGGGTGTATTGTAAAATCATTGGCTGGTGCAGTGTAGATCGGACACATCTATATTCCTGCCAAATTTCATGTTGATTGATGTAGCCCTTTTTGGGTTACAGTTGACCAATAATTACTGACAATAAATAAACAGAACGAAAACAATTTGACCCCCGCTTCATGTGGGGGTCACAATTAAAGTTGCCCTAAATTGGAGCGGAGCAAAAATTTCTTAAAACAGCAAAAAACATTACATCAAATAATAAAAGGTCAAAGCTTTGTCTCACTCTTTATGACAGAGTGGTCAGATAATAGCTTTGTTTTATTAAAAGGTACACAGCATCTCTGTAAAAACATCACAAGAGGTAAATCCTCTGATCTGATGAAACCAAGCTTAGCCATCCCAGTAATTACCACGATACGGATTCAAGATGGATGACGAGACGTTGAAGAGGAATTATAAAAGAAGACTTAAAGCATTTAGATTCTCAGCCGTGAGAGTTTCAACTTCACATTTTAGCTCAGTGATCTGGGCTCAAACCACCAAGGAAATATTAAATGTGCTATCTGAAAGTCTGCTAAAGTCTTGAAGAGATGCAGTGAGATGCTGTACGAGGAGTCTTAAGAGCATCGCTGTGGAGACCGGAAAAATGTCTCTGTATTGACACAAACAACAAAAGTAATCACAAAAGCAATGTTGATGGTTTGTAAGGGATATTTGCAGAAATCTGTGCTTTCATCAAGCCCAAAGGAAAAGATGTAAGGTTCAGACCTGTTGTCTTTCTGTGAGGACTATGCATGTTCTCCTCATGCTTGCGTGGGTTTTCTCCAGGTGCCCCGGTTTCCCCCACAACACAAAAACACGTACAATAGGTTGCCTTCAGGCCCAGGCTTCCCTTGAAAGAGATCTGTGATCTTAATGGGATTT